AACATTACAGCATGCTATATTATCATTGCATTTGATGGCTCACCTGGTCTTGCTCCACAATCGGTGTTCCCCTTATTCTCATGCAAAGCTCTGTAGTGCCTAAGCATGGATGAGGTGTTGTTATATCCCAGCTCCCTGGCACATAGCAAACACTTCACCTTGTACAAAAGTACAGACAGCTCAACATAAATTGTATTGCACCATCAGTATTATGAAAATACATCTTCTGTAGAAATTTACATACCTTGTTGGGAGGAATAAGATCAAAATGTTCCCACACAGGGGAGGACATCCTCCTCTTCTTAGCTGGCTCCATTCTCTCCTGACTTTCTCTCCTCACTCTCATAAACCTCCAAACTGTCTCCAAACTCTCACTAACCGCAACTCTCCATCAAACACCCACATTTTGATTGAAGTCTGAGGGGTTTATATCTGTCATATCTCGCGGCAAAGTTCGAACCACTTCATGAACCAGTCACGTGGTACAGCCGGGCAGCGAGGCTTCGGACGTCATCATTTTCAGCTCCTCCCATAAATGAAGCAAGCCTCGATACGCGCTTCGCGGAAACGCCCCCTCCATTACTCGACACACGCTCCGAAGCCTCGATACAGAACGTCACATCACTAGTGTTTGCTTTAAAACACATGCATGGATGTAAAGAATGTAACTACTGCTACCACAAACAAAACCCGGGATATTGTGTGTTAAGAGAAGTTACACCAGCAATGTCTAAATGAAAGCATTATGGCTGACTGTAAAATAACAGAACACAGAATAACAATATACGCAAGTGACAAATGGCAAATGAATTCTGTCCTAGCCACTTTGTCACAGGCCTGAGCTAAAAACAGTGGCCCTGGGGAAATGTGGATGGTATTGGCCAGCACCACAGGCCCTGGTGTGGTGATGATGGACTCACAGGAAGCACTGTCCCTGGTGTAATGTGGATGGCCCCAGCCAACAACACTGGCCCTGGTGAAATGTGGATGGTATTGGTCAGCACCACACACCCTGGTGTAATGTGAATAGCCTTAGCCAACACCACTGGCCCTGGTGAATTGTGCATGATATTGGTCAGCACCACAGGCCCAGGTGTATTGTGGATGGCATCAGCAAATAGCACAGGCCCTGTTGTGGTGATGATGGCCTCACAAGAAGAACTGTCCCTGGTGTAATGTGGATGTCCTCATCCAACAGTACAGGCCCTGGTGTGGTGAAGATGGCCTCACAGGAAGCACTGTGCCTGGTGTAAAGTGTATGGCCTCAGCCAACAACAGTGGCCCTGGTGAAATGTGGATGGTATTGGCCAGCACCACAGGCCCTGGTGTGGTGATGAATGAATCAAAGGAAGCACTGGCCCTGGTGTAATGTGGATGGCCTCAGCCAACAACACTGGCCCTGGAGAAATGTGGATGGTATTGGCCAGCACCACAGGCCCTGGTGTAATGTGAATGGCATCAGCCAAAAGCACAGGCCCTGGTAAAATGTGGATGGTATCAGCCAGCAGCACAGGCCCTGGTGTGGTGAATATGGCCTCGCAGGGAGCATTGGCCCTGTTGTAATTTGGATGACCTCAGCCAACAACACTGGCCCTGGTGAAATGTGGATCGCATCATCCACTAACACAAACCCTGGTGAAATGTCGTTGTTTTCGGCCAACAACACAGTCCCTTGGGTAATTTGGATGGCTAGCAGCACAGGCCCTGGTCTGGTGAAGATGGCCTCACAGGAATCACTGGCCCTGGTGTATTTTCGATGGCATCAGCAAGAAGCACAGACCCTGGTCTAGTGAAGATGGCCTCACGGAAATCACTGGCCCTGGTGTATTGTGGATGGCATCAGCCATCAACACAAGCCCTAGTGAAATATAGGTGGCCTCAGCCAGCAGCACAGGCCCTACTGCAATGTGAATGGCCTCAGCCAGTAACACAGTCCCTGGTGTAATGTGGATGGCATAATCTAACAACACTGGCCCTTGTGAAATGTGGATGGTATTGGTAAAGCACCACACACCCTGGTGTAATGTGGATGGCCTTAGCTTACACCACTGGCCCTGGTGTAATGTGCATGATATCGGCCAGCATCACAGGCCCTAATGTGGATGGCATCAACGAGCATCAAAGGCCCTGGTGGGGTAAAGATGGCCTCACAGGAAGCACAGGCCCTGGTGTAATGTGGATGGTAGAAGCCGGCATCACAGTCTCTGGTGTAATGTTGATGACCTAAGCCAACAACAGTGGCCCTGGTGAAATGTGGATGGTGTTGGCCAGCACCAGAGGCCCTGGTGTAATTTGAATGGCATAGGCCACCAGCACAGGCCCTCGTGTGGTGAAGATGGCCTCACAGGAAGCACTGTCCCTGATGTACCGTATTTTCACGACCATAAGGCGCACTTAAAAGTCTTAGATTTTCTTCAAAAAGTGCGGCGCGCCCTATAGCGCGGTGCGCCCTATGTGTTGTAAGGAGGACGTAGTAGAGAACACCATGAGAACGTTAAAGGGTGAAGTGTGGGCGTTGATCGTATATACCGGGACAATCGCACATACCTGTATAAAAGAACAGGTATGTGCATTATGCAGGACATCGTTGTTTTAACAACCCTGAAAATGGCAAAGAGACACGCTTACGAAGCACAGTTTAAACTGAAGGCCATCAGCTACGCGGAGGAACATGGAAATCGAGCAGCGGCGAGAGAATTTAAGATTAACGAATCGATGGTTCGCAAATGGAGGAAGCTGGAAAACAAGCTCCGGCAGGTCAAGAAAACGCAGCTGAGTTTCCGCGGACATAAGGCGAGGTGGCCCGAGTTGGAGGAAAGACTCGAGCGGTGGATCATCGAGCAAAGAGCGAGCGGGAGAAGCGTTTCGACGGTCACCATTCGGCTAAAAGCAGTTTCACTAGCTGAAGAGATGAACATTGAACATTTCCAAGGAGGTCCGTCTTGGTGCTTTCGTTTTACGAAACGGTGCCATTTTTCCATTCGGACCAGGACTACGGTAGCGCAGCAACTTCCAGCGGATTATAAGGAAAAGCTGGCCATCTTCCGCTCCTACTGCAGCAAACACATCGGCGACAAAAACATCCAGCCCAGCCACATCACAAACATGGACGAGGTCCCGCTCACTTTTGACATCCCGGTGAGTCACACTGTGGAGAAGAAGGGGACCAGCACGGTAGCGATACGCACAACGGGGTATGAAAAGTCTTCTTTTACTGTTGTGCTTGGCTGCCATGCTAATGGACAGAAACTGCCGCCTATGGTGATTTTTAAGCGAAAGACTTTGCCTAAAGAGAAGTTTCCAGCAGAAATCATCATTAAGGCAAATGAAAAGGGCTGGATGGATGAGGAAATGATGAAAGAGTGGCTGAGGGAGGTGTATGTAAGGAGACCAGGTGGTTTTTTCCACGCATCACCATCGCTGTTGATCTGTGACTCTATGCGTGCCCATCTCACAGCCGATGTGAAAAAACTTGTGAAGCAAATGAACTGTGAGCTTGCTGTCATTCCGGGAGGCCTGACAAAGGAACTCCAACCGCTGGGCATCGGTGTGAACCGCCCGTTCAAAGTAAGGCTGCGAGCGGCCTGGGAGCGATGGATGACCGGTGAAGACCACAGTTTCACTAAGAGTGGAAGGCAGCGCCGGGCGAGTTACGCCACAATTTGCCAATGGATTGTAGATGCTTGGGCTAACATGTCTGCTGGCACTGTTGTTCGAGCTTTCGCAAAAGCCGGCATCGTTTCCGAGGAGCCGCACGGCACGGAAAGTGACTCTGACGGTGAAGACAGTGAACCTGGCATGTTTGATGGAGATTTAGCGCAGCTGTTCAATTCAGACACAGAGGATGAGGACTTCGATGGGTTTGATTGATGATAAAAATGTGAGTACCAAACTTTGTTTTGCTCCTGCTTTATTTTTAAATACGCATACTTGTATGCTTGTGTGTTGTTGATGATGACAATTATTGGTAATAAAAATGTGAGTACCAAACTCAGTTTTGCTCCTGCTTTATTTTTAAATATGCACACTTGTATGCTTGTGTGTTGTTGATGACGACGATTACCGGCAATAGAAATGTGAGTAAGGTACCAAATTCAGGTTTGCTCCCGCTTTATTTTTAAATACGCATACGGTACTTGTATGCGCCCTATGGTCCAGTGCGCCTTATGTGTGTGTTAAATACAGTAAGGGCACACATAACTGAGACTGCGCCTTTTAGCACAGTGCGCCTTATGGTCGTGAAAATACGGTAATGTGGATGGCCTCAGCAAACAACACTGGCCTTGGTAAAATGTCGATGGTATTTGCCAGCACCACAGGCCCTGGTGTAATGTAGATGGCATCAGCCAGTAAAACAGGCCCTTGAGTATTGTGAATGGCATCAGCCAGCAACACAGGCCCTTGGGTAATATGGAAGGCTAGCAGCACAGGCCCTTGTGTAATGTGAATGTCCTCAGCCATGACCACAGGCCCTGATGAAATGTAGTTGGCCTCAGCCATGACCACAGGCCCTGGTGAAATGTAAATGTCCTCAGCCACTAGCACAGGCCCTGTTGTGGTGAAGATGGCCTCACAGGAAAGCACAGGCCCTGGCGTAATGTGAATGTCCTCAGTCAACACCACTGGCCCTGTTGTAATGGGGATGGCATCAGCTAGTAGCACAGGCCCTTGTGTATTTTGGATCGCATCAGCCAGCAACACAAGCCCTGGTGAAATGTGGATGGTTTGGGCCTGCACCACAGGCCCTGGTTTAATGTGGATGGAATCAACGGGCCTGTGGTGCTGGCCAATACCATCCACATTACACCAGAGCCAGTGTTGTTGGATGAGGCCATTCACGTTACACAAGGGCCTGTGGTGCTAGCCAATACCATCCACATTACACATTACGCTGAGGCCATACACTTTACATCAGGGACAGTGCTTCCTGTAAGGCCATCATCAGCACACCAGGGCCTGTGGTGCTGGATGATGCCATCCACATTACACCAGGTGTCATGGTCTACGGTGGGTGGCTGGAGTTTCCATTAGGCTCCTGAACTGACCTGGGATCCGCCCCTGGGCAGGGCCAACTCCAGCTCCTGCACACCTGGAGCCTATTGCAGGCTATCAAGCCAGAGGGATTTAAACCACACATCGATGTTCACTCACTGCCAGTTCGTCATCAACCCATGTTGGTAACAGGTCTTGTGTTTCAAATTCTCGCTGTGATTCATCTTACTAACAAAGACTCTTTTGTGCTACAGTTGCTGTACCCACCCTGGCTCACTCCACCTCCGGACTTGGAATACCTAGTGATCATTTTGGAAATCCCTCTGTGCCTCACCTGCCTGCCCTCCTGCCATCACACTCCATCTGGAGCCCCGGATCTCAGGTCAGCCTTTCCACGCCACTCAGCCTCCCCTGGATCTTCATCATCCCCCTCTCAAACACTCCAGGTCCCTAACTGCAAGTAAGAATTGCTGCTCTTATACTGGCCACTTCTGAGCTGCCTTCACTACCCGCCTAACTTCTATATCCTCTCCCCTCAGTGTGACTGTTCCCCACTCAGCTCCGTTCCACTTCTCAGGCCTCGTTCCCTCGCCCTAGCCACGTTCCCCTGGGCACGCCACACCAAGGCTCCACGTCTCGTCATTTTCTGTCTTTGCCACGTTTCCCTTTTTTTGTTCCCCTTGCACTTAACCGTAATAAACTATTAAATCATCTACTGTCTCCGCTCTGGGTTTCTGCACCTGAGTCCTATTCAGTACCGGCCATCCGTCGCCGTGACAGTACGAACTGGCCAACAAATGGACTCAGCAGACCCAGTACGTGCAGCAGTCTCCAAGCAGGGAGCCATTTTAGGGGCTCATGAGCAAGCGTTGCAGGTTCTCGACACCCGGTGTCAAGCCATAGGCGAGACCCAGGCTAGGATATTAGCTTCCCTGCAGGAGATTCAGTCGGCTCTTTCCCCTCCTCCAGGCCCATCCTCCGCGTCCCCTGCGCCCGTGGCAGAACCTCCCCAGTCTTCCCCAGCTCCGACCCCTTCGGGCTCCGTGTTTCGCGATGCTGCATTCCCAGAACCCGAGCCGTACTCTGGGGAGCGGGGCCGCTGTACGGCCTTTCTACTGAAATGTTCTCTCGCGTTCACGCATTCACCCCGTTCATTTACTAGCGAATCAGCTCGGGTAGCATATCTGGTGGCTAAGCTACAGGGCAAGGCGCTGTTATGGGCCGAGGCGTACCTGTCGGCTCACCCGCTCCCAACCTGCTCGTTTGATGATTTTCTGTGCGAGTTTAAAAAGACCTTTACTCACCCAGTATCGGAGGGTAGTTCTGATGAAAGGTTGCTCGGATTGCAACAGGGGAGCCGGAGTGTCGCTGAGTTCATTATCGACTTCCGTACCGCAGCCGCCGAGGCCAATTGGCCCGATCATGCCCTTCGGGGAGTGTTCCGTCGCGCCTTAAACGACGAGCTCAAAGACCAGCTCGCTTCCCGCGATGAGCCCAAATCCTTTGAAGACTTGGTCTCCCTTTCCCTTCGGATAGATAATCGCCTGAGGGAAAGGGAGGCAGAAAAGAACCAGAAACATCGTAAACCTGCGCCTCGTACGTTTTCACTTTCTCCACCGTCACGTCCGGTGTCAACATCCGCTCCCGTTTCCGTGGAAACGGACGCCGCTCCGGAGCCTATGCTAATCGGCCGCTCTCGTCTCACACCAGAGGAGCGAGAACGACGGCTTCGGTCGGGCGCGTGTTTTTACTGTGGCTCAGTGGAGCATAGGTTAGCGCAGTGTTCGGTTCGGCCAAAAGGCTCCGCCCGCCGGTAATTTCGGGGATACAGGTGGGCGGATCCTCTTTCAGTTCCAAACCCCGGTTAATTCTACCAGTCACCCTGTGTCTAAATAAGGTTTCTCACCCCCTCCATGCTCTCGTTGATTCCGGAGCAGAGCAAAATTTAATAGATTTAGCTCTCGCTAGACGCCTTCATTTGCCACTCAAGACTCTCGATCCTCCCATCCCTGTTACCGCATTAAACGATCAAATATTCTTTCAGATAACCCATCAGGCTGGCCCCGTAACCCTCGTCACCTCTGGAAACCACCATGAAGCCATTACCTTATTCACCTTCTCTTCTCCTGATTCACCACTCATCCTAGGCTACCCCTGGCTACAGAAACACAACCCTCATATAGACTGGTCTGGAAGTAAAATCGCTAGTTGGAGCCCTTTTTGTCTAGCCCACTGCCTCAAGTCTGCCCTATCGCCGGGTGCCCCTGACACTAACACCTCGGGCGTTGATCCGGTTGACCTCACACTCGTCCCACCTGAGTACCATGACCTCCAGGAAGTTTTCAGTAAAGACAAAGCGTCGTCCTTACCACCCCACAGGCCTTATGACTGCGCTATCAACCTTCTACCTGGTGCTCCGCTTCCCTCTAGCCGGCTATTCAACATTTCCAGACCAGAAAGAGAGTCCATGGAAAAGTACATCCACGAGTCATTAGCTGCAGGTATCATCCGCCCATCCTCCTCTCCAGTGGCCGCCGGCTTCTTTTTTGTGGAAAAGAAGGATAAATCACTCCGTCCATGCATAGACTACAGAGGGTTAAACGACATCACCATTAAAAACAAATATCCTTTACCCCTTATCAGCTCAGCCTTCGAACCCCTCCATGAAGTCACCGTATTCACCAAACTGGATCTCCGCAATGCCTACCACCTTGTCTGCATCAGGGAGGGGGACGAATGGAAAACGGCTTTTAATACGCCCCTAGGTCATTTTGAGTATTTGGTCATGCCGTTTGGGTTAACCAATGCCCCCGCTGTCTTTCAGAACCTGGTCAACGACGTGCTCCGTGATTTCCTGAACCAGTTTGTCTTTGTTTATCTTGATGACATACTCATTTTCTCCAAGACCCCCCAGGAACACCATGTCCACGTCCGAGCAGTCCTCCAACGCCTCCTGGAAAACCGACTTTACGTCAAAGCCGAGAAATGTGAGTTTCATGCACAATCTGTCACTTTTCTTGGCTATATACTCGCAGGAGGGCAGGTGAAGACTGATCCAGCCAAGATCCGCACGATCCTGGAGTGGCCCACGCCCACGTCACGCAAGCACCTACGTTTCCTCGGCTTTGCCAATTTCTACCGGAGGTTTATTCGCAACTACAGCCAGGTAGCCACTCCTCTCACTACACTCACATCCACCAAAAGACAGTTCATCTGGACACCTGAAGCTGAGGTAGCATTCAGTAGGCTCAAGCGCCTATTTACTTCAGCTCCAGTATTGTGTCACCCAGATCACTCCAAGCCATTTGTTCTAGAGGTAGACGTGTCCGACGTCGGCGTCGGAGCGGTCCTTTCACAGCATTCAGGTTCCAAGGCCAAGTTACACCCATGTGCCTTTTTTTTCACGTCGACTCTCGTCAGCTGAACGCAACTATGATGTAGGAGACAGAGAGTTGCTGGCTATTAAGTTAGCCCTGGAAGAGTGGCGTCACCTATTGGAAGGAGCTGAACACCCATTCACCATCTTCACAGATCATAAAAACCTTACTTACCTCAAAACAGCTAAGCGTCTAAACGCCCGCCAGGCCCGTTGGTCTCTGTTCTTTGATCGCTTCAACTTTGCCATCTCTTTCCGTCAGGGTTCCAAGAACGCCAAGGCTGATGCCCTGTCTCGTCTTTACGACCCAGACGCTGAACCCACCGAACCAGCTCCTGTGCTTCCTGCCTCCTGCCGCGTAGCGTTTTTATCCTGGGACATAGAGGAATCCATCCAGCGTGCTTTACTGGATGAACCAGACCCTGGCACAGGTCCTCCGGGCCGCCGCTTCATTCCCACAGCAACCCGTTCGGCTGTAATTAAGTGGGCTCATACCTCCCGGTTTTCCTGCCATCCTGGAATCGGCCGCACCATCGCACTACTACGTCGTCACTTCTGGTGGGCAACTCTGGAACATGATGTGCGGGACTACGTCTCTGCCTGTGACGTGTGCGCCAGGAACAAGACCCGAAATCAGCGACCATCCGGTCTTCTACAACCTCTAGCCGTACCTTCTCGTCCTTGGTCCCACATTTCCCTGGACTTTGTCACTGGACTGCCTAGGTCAGCAGGTAAAACAGTGATACTCTCTGTGATCGACAGGTTTTCAAAAGCAGCTCACTTCGTTGCCCTGGAGAAACTACCCACTGCCACGGAAACTGCAAGACTGATGGTTGACCACGTCTTCAAACTCCACGGGATTCCTGCCGAGGTCACTTCTGACAGGGGACCTCAGTTTACATCCCAGGTTTGGAAATCTTTCTGCTCTGCCCTGGGTGCTCGAGCCAACCTCAGTTCTGGTTACCACCCTCAAACCAACGGGCAGACTGAGAGGCTCAACCAAGAGCTGGAGTCCATGCTCCGCTGCATGGTTTCCCATAACCCGGCTACCTGGTCAGCACATCTCCCATGGGTGGAGTATGCGCACAATTCTCATGTTTCCGCATCCACTGGTCTCTCTCCATTTGAAGCGTCCCTGGGCTATCAGCCTCCCCTCTTCCCTGAGGAAGAGGCTGATTTGGCTGTGCCTTCCGTCCAGCACCATCTCCAGCGCTGCCGCCGCGTCTGGACTCGGACCCAGGAGGCACTGAAGAAAGCTGCTGCCCGCCACTGCCGCTATGCAGATCGTCTACGGTCGCCAGCTCCTCGGTACGCTCCAGGGCAGAAGGTGTGGCTGTCGGCTAAGGATGTTCCCCTTAAAGTTTCCTCCCGCAAGCTGGCTCCTCGGTTTATTGGGCCGTATGTCATCCACTCGGTCGTCTCGCCCTCTGCTGTGAAGCTCGAGCTTCCTCCCAGTCTGCGGATTCACCCGGTTTTTCATGTTTCCCAAGTCAGGCCTGTGCTGTCCAGTGTGCTGTGCCCGCCTTCCGACCCCCCTCCGCCCGCCCGGCTCATCGATGGTCATCCGGCCTATACGGTTCGGCGGATCGTTGACGTCCGTCGCCGTGGTCGGGGTCGCCAGTTTTTGGTGGACTGGGAGGGGTATGGGCCTGAGGAACATGCCTGGGTTCCTCGCTCGTTTATCCTTGATCCTGCTCTTGTCTCTGATTTTTTTCAGGTCACGTCGCGGGCTGGGGACCGGTCGGCCGCCGGGTGGCGTCCCTTGAGGGGGGGGTACTGTCATGGTCTACGGTGGGTGGCTGGAGTTTCCATTAGGCTCCTGAACTGACCTGGGATCCGCCCCTGGGCAGGGCCAACTCCAGCTCCTGCACACCTGGAGCCTATTGCAGGCTATCAAGCCAGAGGGATTTAAACCACACATCGATGTTCACTCACTGCCAGTTCGTCATCAACCCATGTTGGTAACAGGTCTTGTGTTTCAAATTCTCGCTGTGATTCATCTTACTAACAAAGACTCTTTTGTGCTACAGTTGCTGTACCCACCCTGGCTCACTCCACCTCCGGACTTGGAATACCTAATGATCATTTTGGAAATCCCTCTGTGCCTCACCTGCCTGCCCTCCTGCCATCACACTCCATCTGGAGCCCCGGATCTCAGGTCAGCCTTTCCACGCCACTCAGCCTCCCCTGGATCTTCATCATCCCCCTCTCAAACACTCCAGGTCCCTAACTGCAAGTAAGAATTGCTGCTCTTATACTGGCCACTTCTGAGCTGCCTTCACTACCCGCCTAACTTCTATATCCTCTCCCCTCAGTGTGACTGTTCCCCACTCAGCTCCGTTCCACTTCTCAGGCCTCGTTCCCTCGCCCTAGCCACGTTCCCCTGGGCACGCCACACCAAGGCTCCACGTCTCGTCATTTTCTGTCTTTGCCACGTTTCCCGTTTTTTTCTGTTCCCCTTGCA